TTTCAAACTACAGGAAAAGAGATTCCACCTGAATCTCAGGAAGAACCTCCTGATAGTCGGAACTGGTCAGCGGTGGAATAGGCTGCCTCGGACTGTGGTGGAGTCTCTTTCTTTGGAGGTTTTTAAGCAGAGGTTGGATGGCCATCTGTTGGGAGTGCTTTGGTGGAGTTCCTGCATGGCAGGGAGTTGGACCCGATGGCCCCTGTGGTCTCTACCAAATCTGTGATTCTATGAACATTATACATGCATTGCATGATTTGGAAACAATTCACAAAATGATATCAAGTCAGTGAAAATCCCATGAGCTGACTTATTTTTTCAGCAGTTAACCACTTCTCACCCAAACACAAAGCAATTATCAGGGTGGTTTTCAACAAGTATGAATAATAGTGAACAGAAGAGGGTATTGTAAAACGTAATTCGGCTTTGTTCTGAGTCTTCGTCAATTTTTGGTGAATTTTTTTCTCCCCCATTGGAATGCATTGAAGTGCCTGTTTGACAGCTGTCAAACTTAGGTCCAATGCATTTCAATGGGCCATTCAATGACTTTTTGAATTTATGGCAGCAAAATATCCCACATTAGAGGGTTTTTGAAGAATCAAATTTTGTGGCTTTTTAAAGTGGAAGTTTACATATGTATACACTACGCACTAATTCCAGCAGAAAATTTCCTCATGTAGAATTATCCAGTGATAAAGGATCCTAGAAGATGAGCACATGATCTGTACTATGCTTCCTGAGAGGACACAAACAAGAACAGCTGGGATGTGATTGTATTCTCTTTGCTCCAAAATATTTTGAAGGGTTCTTTTGCCCTTTGTGAAATACTGAAGCAAAAGTGTGAATGCAACACATACATTGGAGAAACATAAACATCCTTTAACTTTTCAGGTACCCTAATGTTGCTGTGCCAGCTCCACAAAATGCAGACTAGAAAGCTATCTTCCAGTCTCCAATCACTTTCCTTGACTTCGGCAAGCTGAGGAAGAAAAACTATATGGGTTCAAAAGCTGTGCGTTGTGTAGATGTCCCTTTGGTTTTTGAAATAATAAATAAGGAAGAGGCTGGAGTTAGCAAAGAAAGTCACTGGAAACCAAGATCCAAATCATGCATACTATATGAAAGGAAGATAGTGAAGAAAGACAAGGACAAAAGTCAAGTCATTTGAAATGTGGTGGTGGTAGAGATATTAAAGCTAGCCAGAAAAACAGGAAAGCAGTTTCAGTGCCTGTAAGGTGACTATCTGTCAGGTAGAATGACCAGAATGGACAGCCCTCTTCATCCAGGTGTTTTTGGATTGAGACTCCCATAGACCCTCCACGTTGGCTCTCCTGGATAGGGCTGATTGGAGTCACAAGCCAAAAACAAGCGATGGGCCATCTTTCCCAGCTGGGTCTCTGCATGTCTGAATCTGGTGCTGTCCAGGGATAAACTCTTTTGAAAGTTATCTGGAAGTTGAGTTATGGCAACTGGACTTCTTTCTTATCAGGTTGAAACGTTTCGCTACTCATCCAAGTAGCTTCTTCAGTCTGAAGAAGAAGAGGAGTAGCGAAACCTGTCTATCTGTCTATCTATCTATCTATCTATCTATCTATCTATCTATCTATCTATCTATCTATCTATCTATCTATCTATCTATCTATCTATCTATCTATCTATCTATCTATCTATCTATCTAATCTATCTATCTATCTATCTATGTGCCGCCCACACTACCCAAATGTCTCTGGGAGGCTTACAACAATTTAAATACAGTAAAAAGATAAGAAGATAATATAATTAAAATACAATTAAAAATGCAGGTCTCTATGAATTGCCATCAGGACGCACAGTTGATATTATTTCATTTAAAAACCTTCTAGAACAGAAAGGTTTTGACCTGGAGCTGAAATGTCATCCTGTCGGCGCCAGACAAATCTGACTCATGATAGTGTTCCATAGTCTGGGGGCTATGTCTACAAGCCATCCCTCTTACCTCCTTGAGGGATGGCTCTTTCAGGAGGCCCCCCTGGCTAGATCTTAATTGCCAGATAGGTTCACATGGAAGGAGGCGGCCCTTCAGGTATCCAAGCCCCAAGCCATTTAGGGCTTAATACGTCAAAACAAGCACTTTGAATTGGACCCAAGCAGCAACTGGTAGCCAATGCAATTTAAACAGAATCTGCCTGATGTGTTGCGGTCCCACCACTCACCAACCGCACAGCTCGATTTTGGACCAGTTGCAGTTGCCGGACTGTCTTCAAAGGCAGCCCCACATAGAGTGCATGGCAGTAATCTATACAAGATGTTACCAGTGCATGCGTAACTGTCATGAGACACTGCTCGTTCAGGTAGAGTCCTAGCTCATATAATTTCCATAGCTGAAGGAAGGCATCCACCTGGGCTTCCAGAGTTAGATCGGGGTCCAGGAGCACTCTGAGGCTGTAGACCCTGTCCCTTAGGGGAAGTGCAACCCCATTCAGGGCAGGGAAATGGCCCTCTAGTCTGTCCAGTGGAACACCCACTAACAACACTTCCGTCTTGTTTGGACTGAGTTTCAAGTTATTAACTCTCATCCAGTCCATTATCAGGTCCAGACACGAGTTCAGCACATGAGTTCTTAAATACCAAACAATTATATAGTGACAAGATGGGTGAAATGACTGAAACTATGACAGGATATAAGCATCAAATCTCAGCTAACATTGACTAAAACCATCCCAAACCACAAATCAAAAAACAGTAATTTCACAGCTTTAAACCACTGAACTTTTGAATATTTGTTCTTTATTCTTTTAAAAATAATTGTTACAATATTTTTACAACCAGACACAGAATGCCTTCCCAACCACCAATATCTGTTCAGGCAGAAATGAGTTAAGATATGCTCTTCCTGAGAGTAAACTAATTGGCTCCTGACTAACAGGTTCAAAAGTTCTGATTGGGCCATATGAGGAACATATTTCTTCTTTGAAGACTTGTGTCAGAAGCCTGGTCTCAGAAATCAAGAGGGAATGTTTACTGAAATCACTCAGGGCTGGGTGAAATGCACCTGCTTTCTGCTTTTGTAATGCAGAAATATTTTGAACATGCCTTACAAAACAATATGTTAATTCCCTGGAGATACATGGCAAAATGTCCTTTTCTAGAGGAATGTCACATGCCTGGTTTTGTTCTTTCTTTCTTCAAAGAAATCCTTTCTTTTGACTGTTTCTGTGAACTTTCATTGCCCTCCAAACATTTCCCTTCCTAGTGCATAAAGCTGCAACACTTTGGAACTCGCTTGCTGGTAAGCCAGTTTCATGCATACTCAGTTTATAAGAAAATCACCATTTCACCCCTTTTAAAGTATATATTTTGAGGAGCAATATTTTAACTCTTGCATCCTGGATTCCTTCCAAATTAAAACAAGTGGTTGTAGCCACCCATTTTCTTTCAAGATAAGCAAGATTGTTCTTTGCAATTTATTTGATATGTTTTAAATCTGGGATCATTCAAGGTCACTTGTCTCTGCACGGTGGGGCAAAAGTTTTCTTTTTAAAAAATCATAACTTGATAACTCTCTGCCCAAATTTGGCACAGAACAAAAGCAGACTGCTGCATCTGTGCCCGATTTGATGCTGATCAAAAGCCCAGTTTCAAAGTTATAAGTTTTTCTGTTTTGGCTGCCCTGAGTTTTAGAATTGCTTTGTAGAATGTTGACTTGCTGTGCTGCACAACAATGTGGCCCCATATATTTTATTTGAGGTTGCTTTGTTTCGCACCTTTTCTCCAAGAAGCTGAGGAGCAGCATTAAGCTTCAAAACCATATTATGAAGTAGGCAAAGTAACAAAATAGTGATGTGTCAAATTCCACACAGTGAGGTTCTGTATAGTGAGCATTTGGCCCTAGCATTTCTAAACGTCAGACTCAACATGCTAGCTATTTTGAGGTGCTAAATTCAATTTGGCTTCACCAACATTATGAAACTGGGTCCTGCACAGTTTAACAGGTAGACACTGGTCTATTTGATATGGATATTTGTGAACTCACCTGTGCTTTCCATTTCTTAGGTTCAGCAAGTATCTTTGCTTTCATGCTTTCATAAACACTAACTGCATTCTGAGAGACAGATTTTTCTTGGTCGACAGGAAACATAAGTTGATAGTTGTGCAAATGGTCAGCTGCCACATCAGTGTCTTCAGCGGGAATGTCTTCTCGTTCAACAAACTCTAGAAAGGAACAGTCAGCAAAGTAACATCTGAATCGCATTTCAGTATGCAATGATCCTGAAAGAAAACCTCTCCAGAAATAAAGATGAGATGAAGATAAGCACAGTTACCACACAAACTCTGATGCCTATGTATGAATGCCACAATTATGAGAAACAAATAAAAACTGGAAATCTTAATTCAGGGGAGTAAATATGACTTCATACAGATAGCTAAAACTTAGTGGGATGGCTGCTACGACTGGAAAAAAGAAATTGAAGGATATAATTTGTTGAAAAAGAATAAAAAGAATAGAAATGGAGGACTGTTTCTGTGAACTTTTATTCCTGCAAGATGTACATATTCCTGCAAAAGAAAAGAAACCCAGAAGAATGAACTTGGTTGTCCAGTCAAAAGCATCTGGATTAATATAATTGTGGGAGGGGGAAAATAAAAGGAATGTGATAATCTACGATCAAGGAGAAGATGCAGATGAACCCTTTGGAAAACAAATTGCAAGAATTTCAAAGAGACATGATGTAGCAATAATGGGAGATTTGAACAATCCTGATCTCTTCAGATGAAAATTCTGGCAAATATGGCCCTTGCAAGAAATTATTGCCTTGTGTGGTTGATAATTTATCCTACAAAAAATGGAGGAAGGCACTAGAGGACCGGCTATCCTTTCCTTGATTCTAACTAACAGAGATGACTTGGTGGGAGAAGGGGCAACAAGAGGAATTCTGGGGAAGTGACCATGTTTTACTTGAGTTCTTGATTTCAAAAGAAACAAAAGCAGAGTGTAGCTGCACATATAGGCTAGATTTTAGAAAAGGTAATTTTAATAACCCTGAGTGCTCACTGGAAGGACAGATCCTGAAGCTGAGGCTCCAATATTTTGGCCATCTCATGAGAAGAGAAGGCTCCCTGGAAAAGATCCTGATGCTGGGAAAGTGTGAGGGCAAGAGGAGAAGGGGATGATAGAGGATGAGTTGGTTGGACAGTGTCATTGAAGCTACCAACATGAATTTGACCAAACTCCGGGAGGCAGTGGAAGACTGAAGGGCCTGGCATGCTCTGGTCCATGGGGCCATGAAGAGTCAGACACGACTTAACAACTAAACAATAACAACTTGAATAAACTCAGAACAATGATAGATAAGGTCCTATGGCAGGAGATCCTCAAAGGGTGGGTGTTTCTTAAAAAAAGAAATTCCAACAAGAAAATTATTCCAACCAGAATAAAAAGATGGAAGACACCAAAAAAAAATCAATGTGGCTTCACAAAAACTCAGAGAGCACATGAAAATAAAAAAGACACATAGAGGAAGTGGAAGGAAGGCTAAGCTACAAAAGAAGACTACAGACAAGAAGCAAATAATGGCAGGGAGGGCATTAGGAAGGCAAAAGCACTGAATGAGCTGAGGTTAGCAGGAGCAACAGAATAGCATTCTTCTGGTATGTGCATAGCAAATGATATAGAAAAGAAACAGTTGCTCAGCTACTAAACAGGGATGGGGATACAATAATAGACGACAAAGACAGAAGTGCTTAATTCCTACTTTACCTCGGTATTTTTCCAAAAGACAGTCTATGATCCTCTAGGAAACTCTGAATTACAGATGGAGGGGACAGAATGGCAGCTTGACAAATAGTCCTTATTGCTTTGAAAGGAAACTCTGAATTACAGATGGAGGGGACGGAATGGCAGCTTGACAAATAGTCATTACTTTGAACAAAGCAGCAAAGTCAGGGAGCTGGACATGGGACAGATTGTATTTGTCTTCAGTGTGGAAGGAATTGTCACTCTCGAATTGGCCTTCTCAGCCATACTAGATGCTGTTCCAAGTCCTCCATACAGAGCATGTTACCATAGTCTCTCAAGACTGAATGATACCTAATCACATCACTTTGAACAAGTTCAAATCTTCAGGGATAGATGAACTGCATCCAAAAGTATCGAAAGTACTGGCTGAAGAGATTTCAGAACCACTCTACTATTTTCTTGAAATCATGGGGGATGGGCGAAGAGCCAATAATGTTCTTCCTATTTTCAAAAAGGGTAAGAAGGAGGAACCTGGGAACTACAGACCAGTCCTCCTGACATAATTCCAAGGAAAAAAATGGAGCAAATAATAAAGTGGTCATTCTGCAAGCACTTTGAAAACAATGAAATAATAACAAGAAGCTAAAATAGATTTGTCTAGAACATAGGTTCCCAAACTTTTTTGTCCTGTAGACCACTTGCCGACTTATTTGTTTTCCTTAGACCCCCTACCTACCTAATATCGCATTTTCCTAAACCTATTAACTTCAAACGTGTTTTAAGGATTTTTTTGAAAGAGTGCACAAGTGTAGAAAAAAAATCATACCAAAGTTAGAAATATTAATATTGCTGCATCAACATCTTATAAACTAATCAATAAAAATGTTGTAAAAGTTTCAGTCTCTGAATAAATGTACCTTAAAGTTTCTTATTTCAATATGGTGAGCACAGGCACCTCCATTAAAAATGTTGAAGTGTCAACGAAAATATGTATACAGCTCTATGCAATCGTAACGACTACAAAATATGTATAAAATGTTGTACTTTTCTTAGGCACTATTAAAGAAAATGATTTTGATTCACTTGACTTTTACCTATTTTCTATCTATATTTTTGAACGTATTTTTAAGCCAGTTTTCTTCTCAAAACTCAGAAAGCAACTGAACATCGCTAACACTCCTATTTATCAATTATGAATCAAACAAGTATATGCAAAGCTTTGCTAGAAGTCTAACCATGTACTCACACGCACGATGTGTGTGCCTGTATAGCTCAGTAATGAGAAAGGACAAAATGCCATCGATCCCATTTACAACACGCCGACATTTACCATAAAATTTTACCAATAATTTTATGAACTTCCACATGAATGTAGCACACCACAATACAGATAGTACATAGTACCTAATCAAATATTATGAAATATTATGTATACAGAATCTGTGTTTGGTGTAATTACGGATCACCTAAATATTTATTATGATCTGCCTAAAGGGATCTGCTCACGTAGACCACAATGTACATCGCGTTCACCCCTGATTTTTTCTCTCTCTGATGTGGACCCCCTGCAAGTCGAAATTGACCCCTGGGGGTCCATATAGACCACATTGGGAACCTATGGTCTAGAACAAATCTTGCCAGAAAAGATTCCCACCATCTATCTCCAATGTGGTTCTCTGAGAGTCATGCTCATAGAGTGCTTAAATATGTCTCTTTGTCAGCCTGGAAGGAGGCAACAAGTGAGGTTCCACAAGGATCAGTCCTGTGCCTGGTGCTCTTCAACACTTTTGTTAATGACTTGGATGAGGAGGGGTGCAGAGAATGCGTATGAAATTAGCAGATGAAAAAAATGAGTGTAATAGCTAATACTTTGGAAGACAGAAACAAATTTCAAAAAGATATTGAGCATTGGGCTGAAAACCACAGAATGCAATTTAACAAAGATAAGGGCAGTGTTCTGCATCTAGAAAAAAGAAAGAAGAGGATATTTGTCTCAATAATACAATGAGTGAGAATGATCTTGAAATTGTTGTAGATCACATGCTGAATACGACCCAACAGTGTGGTGTGGTTGTAAAAACCAAAAATGCTACTTTAGGATACATACAGAGCACGTTACCATAGTCTTTCGAGACTGAAGGATGCCTAAGAAGAAGAGATGTATAGTCTCCAAATCCTGTGAGGTGCTAATTCTCCTCTATTCTCCTCTATTCAGCACTGGTGAGGCCTCATCTAGAGTAATGTGTACAACTCTGGACACCACACTTTAAGGAGGATTCTGACAAGCTGATACAAGTTCATAGGAGGACAACAAGCATTATCAAGAGACTGAGGAAAGACTGGAAGAACAGGGCATGTTTAGCCTTGAAAAAAGAAGACTTGAGGGGAGATATGATAGCACTTTTCAAATACTTTTTTTAAAAATCGTTCCAGAGTGCAGGAGATGCAACAATGGGCTCAAGTTACAGGAAATCAGATTTTGGTTGAATGTCAGAAAAAAAACTCCATAACTTAACAGTGCAACAGTGCAACAATGGAGCCAATTATCTCAGGAACGCTCCAACACTGAAGGCATTTAAGAGAAAATTAGGCAACCATCTGTGTGATATACTTTGATTTAGATTCTCTCATTGAACAGTAGGTTGGACCCAATGGCCTTATAGACTCTTTCCAATTCCAGGATTTTATGATTCTATTCAAATTCTTTATTATTCATAAACCCACAGTGATCTCTTCATTAACCAATGTTTCAAAAATTTTCTTGGCAAATACTGGTATTACCGCAGATGACTATGGTATTATTAAACAGTGGCCTGCCCAAGTTGGGGGTTTGGGTTCCTTTGGTGGATAATAAACAGTATAGGGAGGAGGAGGATACTAAATTGGTGGGGAAATAGAAGAATAGTAAAAAAAAATTACTTCACTTCCTTTAAGCACTATAGTCATATAAACAAAGAATTTAGTTCTCCATACCTTTAACAGCAGTCTACCATACAGAAATGGATTTGAAAGCAATTTGTGGACTGGAGATAGGCAGGTGGGCAAGGAGGGTAGCAGTCTTGTTTTGTTTTGTTTTCTCTTGTGTAAAGGCATATGAGCAGGTGCAGAAAGGTATTACCTGGTATTGTCTTTCATTTTAGATTGCATAGATGCATCCTATTATTTGAATAACAGTCAGATGATGATTCTCCAATCTAATTTCAGTTAAAAAGCCACATGAAAGAACAACAAAGGTCTTGAAGTTGCTTATTCACAGTTAGTCCCTGTATGGCAAACCTAGCACACAGCTCACAACAGTCCCAGTCTTTCACAGTATAGTAAGCTGCGTTCTCTTTCTGTTTAAATTACCTAATTATCTCAAGACATTCATCTATTGTATGCATAACTGAACTTTATACACCCTTATGTCTATTTTAGTCATCTTTTCTTGATATGTGTTTAGGGTGTGTGCATGTTTGGCCTGGAATAAGGTGAAAAACCAGAGAGAGAGAGCAAGAACACAAAGATGGAGATCAACAAGACCAGAGGAACAATGGTACTTTACATTTCTGGCTATAAGCCCTCATTGTGAGAAATTCAACTCTTCAACTGTGAACTTTTTGAGTTATGCTTTTAGCAAGTTGACAAAAAAAATCTGCTGCTAATTGAGGGAGCAGAGCAAACTCAGGGATTAAGAAGACCCTGGTACAGGTATCCTCATGAGCAAGCAGATTCCACATCTGTCCACTAGTGATGGAAGACCCACTAAGTGTAATTAAAAGCATTCCATACTTCACAATAGATGATAAGGACCATCTATCTATAGAAAAACAAAGAAGCATCTAATGCGCATGCTCAGCTGGCAAACTTCCCAAAAAGAATATAAAAGGAATGGTCCAGGCAGGTATAATTTGTCTGCTGAGACCAAAACTTTTGGAACCAACTACTTTCTTTGGAACTTGGATGATGCAAATTAAGAATTATTCTCTCTTTTGGGAGTATGTATGTGCTGTGAATGTGTTGAATGCATGAAACCCTTTTTATTATGA